AAATTAAGATTTCCCGTTTCACGCAGCAGTAAGAAGTATAATTATAAGCCTCTTTGGACACTGTCCCTCCCCCCCCCACCACCACCACTTTGACAATATTTACTTAAGTATTTCCCCCCACCTCACTCACACACATGCTCCCCCACACTGGTTCCCTTAAATAGTTCCAGTAGAAAAAAAATTTTTTTTCCCCTCAAGAAAGGAAAGAGAAAGTCCAACCGCTACGGCAATACTTTTAAGCTCTACTAAATGATCGTATCCTTTCTGGCTTCGAAACTTTTGTACCTAAAAATCGAGAGAGGCGCTGCATTTTTTCAGCTGAAACTGTCAAAACTTGGAGAAGGGGAACCTCGGAGGCAGGCAGGAGAGGAGGAGAATCCCGAAACTCCGTGGAGGTTGGGAAGATGCTGTGCCTCGAGGATTAGTTTAAACAGGGGGCTATAAAAGATGTAACAGATGCAAACTGTAACACAAGGGCCATTAACCCTTTCTCTGCCGAGCACACTCAGTCCCCACGCCCCGCACCTATTGTCTCCCGTGCTAGAAGCTTTGCGGAAAACCTGGAAAGTGAGTATCAGTTTCCACACATTTGTAAGGGGGGTGGGGTGGGGGGGCAGAGAGAAGAGGAAGTGGATGATTTAGAAAGCACCTTGAATTTAACTTAGGCATAGTTGGAGACCTTTAATTTAAGTTTGATATATTTTGTCATTTCTTGGCTTTCTTATTTGAAATTGTTGGGAAAAATCCTGAAATAAAGAAATGGTCACAGGAGTGTCTGGGATGAAACAGCTGGCCTTGTGTGTATTCCTGCTGAGACTTACACACGATTGCATATAAATACATGTTTAATAAAGTAAGCTGCTAGTTTTATGAGCATGTGTGTGTGAGGGAGAGACAGGGCGTTCGTGCTGTAAACTTTATCTTCGCTTGTTATTTCTAACTCTGGAGTTAGTAATCTTGCCTTCATCATTACAGGGGGAGCATGTAAAATATATAAGTAGGTGGGAGATAAACACATGCATGTTAGCCGGGCTCACCACTGTTCCTGGGAACTCCTACTATCTCTCTTGACTTTTCAGTGCCAAAGTATGCAATGGGTAAGTGTGGATATGTGTCTCCTGTGAAATCCACGTCTGTATTATTTTGCCACTTAAAATACAATTTCAAAAGTTATCCTTAATTTAAAGCCCTGATATCCTGACAGCAGTTTTCCTCCCAGCTGTAGTCACACACCGCCCCCCCCCCACACACATACACTTTGGTAAACGACTCAAGTTCCATGAGGACTTTCACTTCTTTATTATCATCACAGAAGTGAGGTGTTACTTCACATACACACACACACACAAAGAATGAAATAAAGAAATGAAACTCGCTAAGCAGACAAAAAACAGGCGCTTTCTGCTTAGAAAACAGCCTTCTCCATGGGAGAGGAGGATGGACTGCCATATCTAAGAGAAAAAAAACTTGCCCTCGAATTTGGTAGGCTTGTATCAATCAAGTTTTGTAATTATTAACAGGTATTTGCCAAGTTTTAATTGCTGAGTACAATGAATTGGAACTAGATGCGAAAATAGAGCAGAATTTGTCCCCTTGAAGAGTTTTTATTTCAACCATACAGTTCTTAATAAAACTTTTCCTAAGCTGGGTAGCAAAAAGGCACCTTTGGTTACCTGAATGGACAGGTACTGGGCAAATTATTTAGGGGAGAAAAAAAGGAGAGAAAAGGAAGAAGAGAGATTAAGAGTGGGAGAGAAATCGAAGAAGTCACTCTTGGGAAAAGCTTGCCATAAAGGAGCTAAACCCACCTGAAATTCCTACCCACAGACACTCCTCACTTCAGACTCACATCCCCACTTAAAAGGGAAAAAAAAATCAGAAAAGGAGGGTGGGGGGTGATCATACTAAAAAGGAATAAAAAGAGAGAAAAGGGGAAAAAAAAACCTACCTGCGAAGTCCTGTTTGTAGTTTTGGCCAGAAATGGTGAGAAGAAAAAGCATGAAGAAGCCGCGAAGTGTGGGGAAGAAAAAGGTGGAAGCGAAGAAACAGCTCCCGGAGCAAACTGTACAAAACCTCGCCAAGAGTGTCGGGAGGCAGGACCGTTATTCCTGCGGAGCAGGTTAGAACTGATCTCTTTCGGCCACTCCAGGAAACACAAACCTGGGGACGGACTGACGTGTTACGCCTCTTCTAATGACATTTTTTTCTTTTTCTTTTCTGTAGGAGAGAGAGAGACCCTGAAACACGCGCCACCTATCTTTGTGGGGAGGGATAATTGAAGCGCCCTGAGCGTGAGCATCATGTGAAAACGTGATCGCCAAGTTTCTCTCTGGGAAAGGATCTGGGATAGATTATACCTTGAAGTCTCCGCAAACGCTTTAGTGGAAGAAATGAAATTCCACCTCCCTCCCTTCCTCTCTCCCTCCCTCTCGCCTCCCTCCCTCTCTCCCTCCCTTCTCCACGCCCCCCCCCAACCTCACCCCTCACCCCCCCGTCAAGCCTTTGGCATCATTATCCTCATCACTAAATCCTACAGAGTACGTACAGGGCGGAAAATGGTGCACACCATTCACAGAACTGGAAAACTCTAAGGGGCGAAAGTTAAAGGAGAAGATCCCGGGTCCTCAATCCAGATCGCCTCTTCTTATACAGATATCTCTAATGACCAGATTTGAGATGCACATTAATTTGTGTGGATTTCTCAGCACGGCTTCTGGAACTAAATTCTTTGCCCTTTCCCTTATTTATTTTATTATTTTTTTCTTTTTAGATGCCAGAGCCATAAAAATAAATGCTGCATGTGAACAGCATCTTAGGGAGTGTGTGTGTGTGTGTGTGTGTGCGCGCGCGCGCGCGTGTGTGTGTGTGTGTGTGTGTGTGTGATGAATTTCTGGACTGTATCCCCAAACTAAAAAGTAGTTTGGCATTTTTAAAATAGGGTCTGTAAGTAAATGAACAGAGTGCGCTGGGTTGACCGATCTCTAAATCCCTCTACATCTCACCGAGACCTTACGACAAAGTGAGGGAGTGTGTGTAGCGAAGCAGGAGGAAAAGGAAAAAGGCCATAGAGGAACTTAGCAGGAAAGGAAGAGCATGATATTAAACGGCATGGGGTCTAAGTTTTGGAATATATATATATATATATATATATATATACACACATATATATATATACATATATATATTTGATATTGCAATTAAAGTAAAATTAAAAAGAAAAGACTCCACCTTTGCTCTGAAGGGATTGGTTATGTAAATATGGAAGGGATTTCCTGGAGAATACAGCTTTCTACTGTATGGTTAATTAAATAATCACTCAAAAGCTTCCAACGTGACGCTTCTGTCGTAATCCAATCAGGTTACATAGGTCCTAAACAAGAAAGATATTTTCCACATCTGGAAGTCAGCAATTTAGCAAGTACTGCACATTATTAACCAATTCAGAGCCCACTTCCCAGGGGAATTTTTTTTGAAGTTTAAGTGTTCTTAACCAATGCTCTGCTGTTTTGTTAATCAAAAAGCTGGTTTACACTGCACATAATTGGAACTAATATGGAAGTAAATAAAGACAGCCAAATTTGAGGATGCTGAGCACAGGCATTTATCGGAAAGGAAGAAATCTCTTACTCTTAGCCTCCAATGGTTCAGGCTCAATTTCTTAAAGAACTGTGAGGCTTTTTTTTTTTTTAATAGAGTGAAAGTGCTTGAGAACCTCAGAGCACAAATAAACTTCCAGCCCCACAACCCTAAGGCATCCTTGCAAAGGTAAAGGTAGAGGTGTCAAGAGGACTAAAGAACAGCCTCATGCCAATTTTTCTGCTTTAATATTGTTAATATGTTACAGACCCCTGTTTTCAGTTTGACGAAATCTGAAACAAATAATACCCTGATCCAACACTAGACTTTTACTTATATTAAGATAAACTGCTTTGAACTGTGCTTTGAATGTGTGCCTAAAGCAAGACTTTGAATGCAAGAGTCATTGGCAATTGCACTCAGAGGAGGGGAAAGCCACCACATGAGTTGTCACATCCACACTCCCAGAGGTGCCTGTCATTATATTTTGTATGTTTATTGTGTGTGTGTGTGTGTGTGTGTGTGTGTGTGTGTGTGTGTGTAGGGGGTGAGGTAGAGCCACCCAGCATGACCACAGCCAGTTCTTACTTTAGGATGCAAGAAAATACATTTTCACAGTTGGTTACAGATTCACCTCTTTCCTAACTTGAGTTTTTATTACAATGAGAATAGCTGGATAAATTAATCTCCTCCCTACCCCACTACAGATAAATTGCCTATAGAAGAGGCGCATTCAAGATCGTCAGTCTAAAAATTGGTATTAAAAAAAACTAAAGGTTTCCAACATGGGTCAGACACATCCTCAATTTTCTGTTTTACATTATTTTAATATTATATATCTATACTACATATATGCATATGTTATCAAGTCCCTCTACTGAGGTTTATCTCTATTATTAATATCCTTTTCTTCCTCTTCCCACTCCCCCCCCCCTTAATTAAAAAAAATATTTGGAGCTCAGCTTTCTCTAGAAGTTTGCTTTTCAGTCTTTCCTCTCTCATTCCGGAGGCAGAAGGAGCCCATTGCATGGAGAGAGCCAGGCGAGACCCCACCCCGGGAGCCCAGGTAGCCATTTGGAGACGTACAGCTCAGACACACACTCACAGGCAAAACTTCGGGTCAAAGGATCCAATCGAACGGCTAACAAATCACTTGTCTTTATTATGTATATTAATGTCAGGTTACCTAGGATCTGACTTAAAAAAAAAGACTATTAAGTATTTCCATTAAAAACACCTAATCATCTGATTACTCTGGGCTCAGTAATTATTCAAGTGGCAGGAGGCAGCCCCAACTTAGCACTGGGAGTTCCTACTTGCAAGTATCTGACTTGGCGTAAAACAGCAATCTTTCAGGTTCCCATCAAGGTGGATATTTGGATGGTGGCACGCGAAGGATCCCCGCGAGGAGTGGGCGCGCCGGTTGGTTGCCCCCTCCCTCGCCCCTGCCTGGCACGCCCATGGCACTCCCCTCCCCATTTGAGAGAGAGTTCCCACCAACGCAGAGGCAGTGGCATCGGAGAAAGCCGCAATATAAATTTGTCCCGAACACTCCCTTAGTCCGAAGGCTAGGTCGGGGACAATGGGGATCGTGGGATCAGCGGGATGTAGGAGCGCAGGACGCAGGGAAAAGTCAAGAGAGAATTGGGGGCTGCTAGCTTTCGGCTGCTCACACAGCAAAGCAAGTCCTGCAAATGAATCGCTCCTTACCCGTCTTTCTTCTCCATTAACAATCCTTTTCGAGATTAGCACAGACGAAGGGGATTAAAACAACAGATACATGCAAATGTGAAATAATATTTCAGTCGACATTGGAGGGAGAAAATCATTCTTTAGAGTTTCTTTGAGTAAAACAAACTGCCTCCCTCAGGATTCTCTCCACCCAGGCAGGTTGAGAAGATGCACTTTTGTTTTCCTATTCCCTCCAGGCAGGACCTGGTGCCTGTCCCCCCATTCACCTCTCAGTCTGTCAATTTCCTCAACTTTCACAGCCGCTCCCACCCTCTCCCCTGCCCCCAGCTCCGCTCCCGGGCCCAGATGCTCGAAGAGATAGAATATTTCTGCCCTTGAACACACAGACTGTAGAAGCAATTTGAATTTGGCCATAGTTAAATACATACATACATATATACATATACATGTATATATATACTAGCAAATTCTGATTATTTTGTACAATGTGGAGAAAATGAAAAAAGGAACCTATTCTCGTTTTGAAACAGAATTGATCTTTCATTGTAAGGAATTATTTCGACCTTGTGTTTTACCAGGAGGTGGGCAACTTCTTAGTTGCAAGCAAAGGGTGATAAGGGGACCCCTGGATTGGGGTGTGTGTGAAGGGGGTTGGGGGCGGCAGGGGTCCAAGCTAAGCCAAACGGTTTTCTCACGTGCAAACTCGCAATCCAATCCATTCAGAGTTGAGACTACGATAGGAGGGGAAAGTCTATTTAAAAAAAAAAATCAGGAGCATCTCTGTGAGAAGCCCTTTCAAACAAAATCAAAACAGGACCAGAGAACCTCCGACCGTCCCTAACATCCCTGCTGCGAGGCCCGCGGCTGTGGAATCTCGCACGTCACCTGGCCCCAGCAGGGCGGCCCGCTGAAGGGTTCATTTTATTTTATTTTATTTTTTGAAGTTAAGGCTGAATCTCGGCTTCAGTGCTTTTGCCAACGTCTCCACTGACAGGAACCAGCAAACTTCAAGACTCAAATGAGCGTCTTAATTTATTGATGCAAAACAGGTCTGCTTGTCGCCCCCAATTCTCGGCGCGCTCTGTCCCCCACACCCCCAGCTTGGGTCCCTCCATTTGATCCCTGGGCAAGGCCAGGCCGCACAGGCGGAGGAGCACGTGGGGGAGGGGGAGGGGGAGGGTCGGCCCACGCCCGCTCGCCCTCCGCCGGACCTGTCCCCGCCCGGGAGCCCCGCGACCCCCGCCCGGCCGCCGGGTCAGCTGACCTGGCTCGCTCTCCTGCTCCCCGCCCGCCGCCCTGTTTCCGGTCCCCGGGGTCCGCGAGCTGCGCATGTTGCGGGAGCGGCCGCGGCCGGGAGGTGATGCTGGGGGCTGATTACCATGAGAAAGGCTGTGCCTGGAAAGGCCTCCTCCACGCGACTGTCAATCTCACTAAGGGGGTGGGGGTGGCGGAAAGGGGCCCTGGACGAGTCACCAGAAAACTTGGAGTAAGTTGGATGCGACGCAGGCCCGAGGAGGTGGCTTTCGCCTCAAGTTGGAAGGCTGTGGCGTTAAAGAGCGCGGACGCCAGCAGCTTCGCCAGGGAATTAAAAACCAAAAACCCTTCCTTCTCTCCCTCCCTCCATCCCTCTTGCTCTCCTTTTCAGCGCTTCCTGCCCTTTATCCCGTTTTTTTCTTGAAATTCTTTCCCAATCGCATTTCCTACATTCTCCTTTCTTTCTCTCTGATATCTGCCTTTTGCAATCTCTTGTTTGGTTTCTTAACATCCCTTCTCCCTCGCTCTGACTCTTTTCTGACTCCTTTATATGTCCAGATTTATCATTTCGTTTTGAAAACACAATGTTAAATATGTAATTTATCTACCAGCAGGAGGTCAGGGACACCCTGACTAAAATAACTCCCTGGGTCATCAGAGAACAAGTTCACCAGGTGTCAGTGAAAAGTAATAATAACAATAATAAATGTGAATCAATATCTCAGTAATCATAATGGCTTCTTATTCGGAATTTTATCCACTCAAAATGACTTTTTAAAAAATATAATCTAAAAATTGAATAATACTTCGAATAGGGAATTTTTTTAGAATTAAGGCAATATGAAAACATTTCTCATTTATGGTGATATTTTAGCAGTGCTTAACAGACTTTAGAAATTACAATAGGTAATTTATAAAAATGTAAACTGTGCTTTTTCCTTTAACGATTATCTGGAAAGTGTAAAAAATTCCCAAAGCACCACCCGCGCCCCACCCCCCCAACAAAGATCAGTCCATTCAGAGTGAAACATCACGTCATGTATTTTGTACATGTTAAGCAAATGCACAACTTGAGTTTTTGGGTTGTTTTCTTGGCTAGATTACCTCGTTACCTAACAAGTGAGTGAACATGGGGCAGCATATGTCATGAACGTGGCCATATTTTTTGTTTTCCTTATTTGTTTGTATTTCATTCATTTTGGGCACAATTGTTCTCTTATTAAAATTCAGAGTTTGCATTTGTTTACAATTTGTTTACTTTGTTGACTTGTTAAAACTTGTTAGAAGTCAGTTGAAACATGTATTTGAAGCATTTTTTAGGCCAAGAAAAATAAAGATGCATTAGGAAGATGCCTTTTATGCTTCATAATTATTAATTGACATTTTATGATGAATAATTAATCATTTGAATAATTTCGGTATCTCTGATCTGAACATATATTTGCATATCTAATGCTTGATTTTAGCTGTGTTTTTGAAAAAGTTCATTCTCTCTTAGGAGGAGGAAACAAAGTAACATTTAAATGTAAGCTTTCTCTTCAACACTTACAAAAGTTTATTTATTGAGTTGTTCTATTCTTTCTAGATATCCACAAAACTTCTTAACAATTTGTAAACCATTTACATAGCAATCACATGCAAACATGTGACAGACTACAATTAATTAGGAAAAACAATACTCTATGTAAAATCAAATCACTCGCCTCTCCAAATGCAGAGATATGCACGAATCATGGACCATGCTTTCTTATTGGAATGTGGTCATCGAACTTTTTGGTTATGTCTATTTATAAAGAACAAAAAGTAAAAAATTGAGGTGACTGACAAAATTCAGACATGGTATTTAAGATAATTTTTTATTTTTTACTTATTAATATGTGAGTTGATTTAAAGTTATTTAAAAATTATTAAGCGAGCATACATACCCCTGATATTTTTGTACCTTGTGTCAATTAAGTCCAAAGTATCTATTTTGAATACTAGCCCTGCAGATAACTACCTTTGTGATTACAAGCAATTTTTAAAAGTTTGTTTCCTTATTATCACTAATAGTGCCCATTCCTTCGGGTTTTATTGAGAATTAAATGAAGTAATGCATGAAACTTCATTATAGTGTAGCTTTATTATAATGAAAGGTTGAAAAAATAACATGGAATGTATAGATCAATTAAAGACAGTATAAATTAATTTTGACTACTAAAAACAATTAGTTACCTTTTAGTATCATTCATAATTTTTCTATTGAGAAATGAGTGCTGTGTCATTAAATGAAGAAATAAAATGGAAAGCATTCATAGGGTTTATGGCTGGTTTACGATTCTTTAGACCTGTTCAAAGGATGTGTAGCTACAGACATGAAAATAAGTACATTATTTCTTCTGTTAGTTCAGCCGTTAATTTATTATATTCAATATGGTCATAATTTGGTCATAAATATCAGATTTCTTTTAGTCCAAATTATGAACTTGAAGTTTTTCATACTTGTTAGTAACATATTACCTTCGAGTATAAGGGTTAAACGTGCAAAAGCTCAGAAGCAGTCTTGAGTAAGACTTGTGAGAAAAAAAGGGCAAACTTACAAATTTGGAGACCGGAATTTGGCTGTCAAAACACTTTTTGCTGGAAGACCATTCATAATGAACTGAGCATTCCCATTTGGAGTTGTTTTTCCTGGGGTCTCTGCTAATTCCAACTACCTACAGTAGGGGAGAAAATAGGTTTATCAAGTGGGAAACGAAATGTTGGAGTCTTAACAATCTACAAGGTCAGATGTTTTATTTTTTTTTAACTGAAAAATCAATGCAAATGCTAAGGGGAAAGAAATATTGTGATAGTTAATCCCAATATTGATGGGTTTTTGTTGTTTTCTTTAAGACTCTTCAAAACACTTAAAGGGTCCCTTAATTGTTTCCTTTCTCAAAGGATCCATTCCATGCTCCTTGCAGGTCAAAACTACCAAAATGGCAATTGGGACATCAGCCTAGGAGCTCAGAGTGACCTGTACCTCTTTCGGTTTTCCTTTATTAAAGGAAAATGGGACCAGAAACTGTTTGCACCTATAGATTGTCTAGTGACCTGGAAATAACTTCGTGCTGCTTTGTGGTCTTATTTGATAGTCCTATTCTGTTAAAGTTCTAAATGATAAACTTTGTACTCTACTCAGTTCCAATTTTGCACTGTCTTAAGCGTGATATTTTTCAGAATTGTTTCAGGTACTTAAGTATAAAACCCTTATTCTCAAAAATTATCTTTTCTGGGCTGGTTGAGTGGCTCAGATGGTTAAGAGCACAAGCTCTGAGCAACAGGGTCGCCGGTTTGATTCCCATATGGGCCAGTGAGCTGCGCGTGGGCTGAGCTGCCGCTGAGCTGCCAACAGGTGGCAGGATGGCTCAGCTGGTGAGAGCACGTGCTCCTAACAACAAGGTTGCTGGTTCACGACTCCTGCATGGGATGATGGGCTACGCCCACCCACAACTAAGATTGAACAGGGCACCTTGAGCTGAGCAGCCGCGAGCTGCCAACAGGCGGCTAGAGGGCTCCCAGACTTGTAGCTGAGCTAGCTGCGCCCTCCACAACTAAGACTGAAGGAGAACAACTTGGCTGTTCCCCTTCTCCAAATCCCCAACACTGTTCCCCTTCCCCAATTCCCCAATAAAAAAAAATTATCTTTTCCATGATACTCACAAATATGAAATAATAATAGCTAAGAAAAAAAAAACACCCTTCTTCCCTAGGCCTGGCAAATTTAGATGTGTCCTAGAGAGAATCAATGCCTTTCCCTAGAATTCAAGCATCTGGTTCTTCTTGGTTCTTTAATCTGCCAGGTCCATCTTCATGGCCAACACCATGTACATGTGACATCCAACATCTTCTCACCTTTCAAAGGCATCCTTTTGAACCTCTCACACACACACACAATCTGCATACTGCATTGCAACCCACACCCAATCATTCTGGATGATTTAGTTAGTATTTGTTTTTCCATGTGTGGCTTATTTTGCCTTTTGGACCTAACACTTCCGTTCATTTTTCCAGTTACAATATTGGCTCAGGTCGAATGCTCAGGTTGAATGCTTTCTCTGGCTTTGTTGCCTCTGGCTTCCTGGATAAAGTGGTTTCCTCGTTCATTCTTCTCTCCAGGACCCTTGACCAGATAAAAGGTCCTGTGGGCAGGTCCAGGCTAGTTCTCTCACAGCCCCATGTCAAGCACAGGACAAGCTAGTGATGAAGGAGAGATCATGATACAGGAATATCTGGGAATAGTTTTTACTTCCTATATAATTTCTTTGATCACTTATTGATTGTAAACAGGACATCAGTTTGACAGTAGCTTCTTTATATTCTTGATGATAGCATATTGTGGCAGCAAAGATACAGGTTTTAGGATTATACCAACTTGATTTGATTCCCTGCTGTGTGAATACTAACTTTATATTGAGGACAAGGTATTAAAACCTTGTGAGCCTCATTTAAAAAATGAGCAAAAGCGTACTTAGATTTAAGATGGCTGTGGTGAAAAATACAAAAATATATGTAAAATGTCTGGTGCAAGGTAGGCACTTCAATCAATAGGAATTCCCTCCCACAAATTACCTAAAATATAAGAAGTTAAATTCCAGAAAACAAGAGTGGATGTAGCATGTGCTTTAGGTGATATTTATTATTTTTAATTAATTTGTTTTATTATTTTATGATTCATTATTTAAGATTTATTATTTAACCTGTTCTTGCATTATACAGGAATTAATGCTAACTGATAACAAAGTTGTCAAAGCTATATGGAATTTCTGAATTTGTAGTAGAAAAGGTAGGGTGCTCATGATAATAAGCATCATGTTATGTATAACCTCTGAGATGAATAAATGTACTTTAGAATTGGATTACGTATCTCACAATTCCATTTACAATTGTAAGAAAAAAGTATTTTTCCACATAATTTTCCCTATATGATTTGGCATAGGAGGGAGCACTTTTGCATCCAGCTGAGTCTGGTGAAGAAGTGTCAAAGGTCCTATCTGTCCAAAGATAAAAAATTAAAAAAAAAAAGTGTCAACACTGTTCAAAACTCTTTACCTCTTTTTACCCAAACTTCAGAAGCCTGAAGGAATTGGGGCTGGGTTAGAAGGGACAGAACAGCACTGAGAAAGTTTGCCTGCATCATCTTCTTCCCACCCC